GGGCCCGCTCAAAGGGGCTGGGAATGGAGGTTTAGGGTGCTCTGAGGAGCAGCTGAGGGGCACTCAGAGGCCAGGGACCAGTGCCCAGAGGTGCCACTCGGAGATGTGGGGCGCATGTCAGCTGCCAGGCCCGAGGCTGAAGAAGAAATGCTGCGGGTTCTCCTGCACTCCATTCCCCCCGCACTCCCCTCCCCCTGCACTCAGGCTCCCCTGCACTCCAGCTCCGTGCACTCCCGCTCCCCCCGCGCTCCCCTCCCCCGCCCTCCCCCACATTCCGCTCCCCCGCACGCCGCTCCCCCTCATGCGGCTCCCCCATACTCCTGCTCCCCCGTACCCCCACTCCCCCACACTCCCCCTCTCCCCGCTCCCCCGCACTCCCCTGCCCCGCACTCCCCCTCCCCCGCACTCCCCCGCACTCCCCCCGCACCCCCACTCCCCACTCCCCTCTCCCTGCTTCCCCCCGCACTCCCCCTCCCCGCACCCCCCTCCCCCTGTACTCCCCCCCGGCACTCCCTCCCCGCACTCCCTCCCCCGCACTCCCCGCTTCCCCTGCACTCCCACTCCCCTCAACTGCTCACCCCAGCCCCTCACCCTGCACCAATGCTGGCCTTCAGGAGGCAGAGTACTCCTGGTCAGGCCCCTTACCCCCCTGTGCTGAGCTGAGGGCACAAGCTGAGGGCATGACTTGAGTGAAGGCCCTGGGTCTAGGAGCACCAACCTCCCACACAGTAGGGTTCCAGGGTCCTGAGTGACCCAGGCCCTCCCACTCCCTGCAGCCGAGCAGGGACCCCCCCCACTGCACACCCCCTCCTAGTGTGTGACCCCAGTATCCCCACCAGGGAATCTGCCCCTCTGCAAGGCAAAGGCCTCACCTGGCAGGAAAGCTGCTGGCTTAAATCAGGGACTTCAGCCCCTCTGCAAGGGAAAGACCTCACTAGGTGGGAAAGCTGCCCGCCCCAGCCAAGGCCAGTCAGATAAGACCCAGGCATTGGGGTAGGAGGCACCTGTGGGCTGGGCTCCTGATCTGATCACAGAGGCACCAGTGGGCAGCCCAAGAGCTCCCCAGTCCCTGGACCCTCCCACCCCAGAAACCTGACTTGACTCAGTGGGACCCCTGCCAGGGCCACAGGCGTCCAGCCTGAAGTACAAGCCACTCTCTGCTCGACGTCCACTCTCCTTGTTCCCCCACAGCCCTTGATGTTGTCTGAGACCCACAGAAGGGAGTCCTTCGGGAGAGCTCAGGCAGCCCCAGGCTCCCACTGCCCCAGCCCCTCCTGGCCACACTCCATGCCGGGCACCCCGGTCCTGTGGCTCACAGGGGCACTTGGTCTCTATCTTGACTTTTCTGAAAGTCAAAGTCATCCTCAGATCACAGGCTGAGTGGAACTCCTGGTAGCCCCTTATCCACCCAGCCTCAGGACCACAGGGAACTCACTCACCTCCTCCTCCTCCCAGGACCCCAGTCCTCTCTCCTGGGGTGCGCTGGTCCACTCTGGTCCTGCTGTGGCCACAGGAAGTCTGGAGCTTATGAAAGGCCTCTCCTCCATGGAAGTCACTGCCCCAGCCCACCCCCCGACCCACCCCTCGGCCTGCCTCTCTCTCCTCCCCCCCCTTTGCCCTCCACCCTTTCTGTCTGTTGCCCTGGGCATCTCTCCAAGAATGGGGACCACAGAGATCCCAGCATGAAGGACCCCACTGCACAGCAGGGCAGGGTCCCACCAGTGAGGAGGCAGGGGCTGCACGGCCCAACACCTTTACTCCTCACTCCCCACTCCCAGAGGCTCCATCCTGCAAGGAGGGGCTCACAGGGAAAGCCACTCAGATGCCAAGGCCGCCACGTGTGGGTGCTGGATACTAGTGGCTCTGGCCACCCACTGTGGGGAGCAGGCTGCGGCAGCACCTGGACCCCCCCACCCATGTGGTAACCCTTCCCCTCCCCCAGTATGCCCTCCCAGCCCATCCTGAAGGCTCCCACCACCCAACCCACTTTGCAGACTGGTGCCAGTAACCAGAGCTTCAGCAGGTACCCAGGCCTGGAAAACAGGCCTCTGACCCCACAGGATCCCAGGCTGCTCCCAACTGGGACCCGGCCCCATCCCTGCCCCATCCCTGTTGCAGCTCCGCCCACCACAGGCCCCACCCAGGCAGCAACAGAGTCCGGCAGCGCCTGCCTGCGGCTGTAAAGGGCCGTCCCCTCTGGCGGCTGCAGACCTCCCTCCCCAGCACCACACCACAGCAGCCGGCGGGCAGCCCGTGCTCTGCTGGGCCATGGGTGTGTCAACATCCCCTGGAGCTGCTGCTGGGGCCCCTGAGTCCCCTTCTCTGAGCCCAGTACCCATTCCCTGGGGCTGGGGCATCACTGCCAGCCACTCACGGCTGTCCCTGCCCCAGGACTGCCTGGGAGGTTACACATGCACCCTGGAGGCCCCTGCCCAATGACTGGGTGATGACACAAGTGTGGGCGTCCTGGCCCCACTGCACAGCCTCGTGAGAAACTCTGTCCACAGCTCAAGGTGGATCTGGCCCAGGCATCCACCTCCCCAGTAGACCCCTTAGTGCACCAAAATGCCTGTCCCCGCCTCTGCCTTTAAGGACCCCAGCCTAATACCACGCGTTGCACGGGTGCTTCAGGGCCACTGGAGGCAGCTGTCAGCCTCGTGAGCCCAGTCCCCAAGCCCATGCCTCCTCTGCACTCAGGAGTGTGAGAGGGCCAGTCCCCTCGAGGCCTCCCGACCCTGCGTTGCCCGAGGCCTGAGGGAGGATGAGCCTGCTGTTCTAGTAGCTGAAGAGAAACCGCTTGGCCTGGCCCGGGCTCAGCCTCCAGAGGCAAGAGGCGCTGGAGGTGCGCGGCGGGAGGGAGGCCAGCGCTGGTACAGCAGCCACAGAGGAAGAGGCGACACCTGCTGGAGGGAAAGGCCTGGGTTGGATGCTGCAGAGGAGAGGGCCGACCTCTCCTGCATCGCCCTGGATCCCTGGGCCACACAGATTCGGATTCAGGATACACCTCTTCATGAGCACCTCCTTTTCCTTGAGACGGAGTCTCACTGTTGTTGCCTGGGCTGGAATACAATGCCGCAATCTCGGCCCACTGCAACCTCTGCCTCCCGGGTTCCAGCAATTCCCCTGCCTCAGCCTCTCGAGCAGCTGAGATTACAGACACCCACCACCACACCCAGCTAATTTTTGTGTTTTTAGTAGAGATGGGGTTTCACCACGTTGGCCAGGCTGGTCTCGAACTCCCGACCTCAGGTGATCCACCCGCCTCGGCCTCCCACAGTGCTGGGATAAAAGGCGTGAGCCGCTGCGCCCGGCCCATAGCCACCTCTTGCACAGCCCATCCATCAACCAGCTGGCTCCCAGGGAGCCAGAGGTGCCTGCAGTCCTGGCCGCGGCCAGCGGAGGGCACCCAGCCTGGCAGACGGGCACCAGGCACGGGGGGGCAGGAGTGCAGCCCCAGCTCACAGGCTCCTGGGAACACATGTGTGCACCCTCATCCCACACATGCAAGCCAGCGTCAGAGTCATCACAGACAGGCACTCAGCACTCTTGCTTCACGAAACATGAGCTCCACAAGGGCAGACCCGTCTGCCTTTTCACCCCGCCCCGTAGCACCCCTCAGACCTCTTGGCAGTGATCCAGCTCAGGCAAGGCAGGAGAGCTGCCTAGGTCATGACTGACAAAGGGACAGGACAGAACCTGAGTCAGCCACTGTCCTCTCCAGGGTACTGTGGCCTCACTGAGGCCCAACCCCACAGGAACCCCCTGCATGCTTGTGGCTAGTCACACATCACCTGGTTCCACGTGGGGATCCCAGGCCCAGAGGTCCCAGAATTGAGGACATGGCCCCAGTGGCCTCCTGTGCAGCCTCCAGCCCCGCAGAAGCCTCAGTGCTCTGGGGGCTGACCCCCAATCCCCGCCCGACTGCGTGGACTGGGTCAAAACAGAGCAGGGCCAGCCCCCACGGCCGCCAGCCTCACCCAGCCCCTGTCGGCCGCCAGCCTCACCCAGCCCCGTCGGCCAGCGATGGAGGCTCACGGGGCAGGGATTGCCCCCGGGAAGCTCAACAGGGGGACAGCAATGCCAGTGGGCGCGATGAGTGGGTGGCCAGGGAAGCCCAGTGCACTAAGTTTCCGGAAGGGCAGAAGTTGGCCTTGAGTGTCCACTGGGTCAGGCCAGTGTCTAGGGACAGACAGCAGAGGCTGGCTCAAGGGAAGGGACAGGTGGTAGAAGGTGCCCAGCGTTGTCAGCCTGAACTCCCGGAGCCACAGTGGGGGTGGAACTGCATGCTGGAGGCCAGGGATGGTGCAGCATCACCCCCACCAAGCTGGCCAGAGGCCGAGACCAGGCTTCAGCCAAGAACGGACTCCAGGCCCACAAAGCCTGGGCTGGGACCTGCCACTTTCGTCTTCCCCATCCAGCAGTTCTGGCCTCAGCCCACCTGCCCTAAGGTGCTGCCCCAGAGCAGGACGACCCTTGGGAGCCACCCAGTTGAGACACACAGACTCCAGGACCTCCGTGGGCCTCTCCCGCCTACAGCCACCCTCCCTGCCCCACAACCCTGGTATCAGGTGGCACCTTGAGTTTCCAGGATACGGGCTGGGATCCTCCCCAGCGTGGGGGGTGTTGAATCTCTGGGAGGGGCAGGAGCCCTCCTAGACACAGGCCCCGGTGCCATCCTCCAGTACAGGAGCCGCTGCTCACCTCTCCAGGCCAAGGGTCCCTGGACCCCACCCCAGTGTCTCACTGGCCAGCCAGAGGCACATGTCGGGGCCCCTTGACCTCTTCCCTGGCTGGATCACCCAGCTGCCTACTGCCCTACTCCCCAGAAGCTCTGCCTCAGATGCAGTGATGCCAGGGCCTCCCCAGGAGGGCTGGGCGGAGGGGCCAGGAGCAGTGAGGGGCCTGCACATGATTCCTAGTGTCCCACTCCTGCCTTCCTGGGGGTCCCATGACCCTACTCGCACAGCACTGGAAGTGGCCCCTTGGGATGCACCCAGATGTTCTGCGTGTTCCCTATGCTTTATTGGAATGCTGTCAGGTCCGCGCCTTCCACATGGGCCCTCACATACAGCCAGGAGAGGCCCCAGCACCTGTCCCAGGCCCACCTGCCCACACCTGCAGAAGGGAAAGGCCGTCACCCTCTGTGGATAGGGTCTCGGCCACCACATCCACCTTCTGAAGGTGGCCCAGACACCTCCACACTGCTGACTGCACCTCCCATTAAAGGGGATCTGGGGCAGGCAGAGGGGGCCGTCCCCCTACCCCCAAGAAAGGCACCCTCCTGGGCGGGGGCAGAGCTTGGCTCCATGCTGCCAAGTCAAAAGGTGCTGACGTGGAAACAGGCACATGGAACACCACATCCCACTGTCCAGTGGAGTCCACCCCTCCTCGGAGCATTCAGCCCACCAGGGTCCAAGCAGCCCTCGGGAAACACCACGCGCATGCCGCACACCCAAGTCTCAGCTTGGAGAAAGACGCAAAGACCTCACGCTCAGCTCTCGGGGGATGGCTTCCCGGGACCTTTGTGTTGGCCACTTTGCCCAGTGGCTTCTCAGCACCATGAGCCTCTGACCCCCGGCCTGACTTCAGGTCCAATTACAGCAGATGGCTGTTTCGGTGACCAAGTCCCTCCATGGCAGCCAAGGACACCGGCCCTCCACACCGGCTACCAAGAGGGCTGGTGCCCACAGGGAGGCCCGGGCGCCAGGAGGACTCGCCGAAATCTTGTCCCATCCTGTTTCGCGGGTGGCTGAGTCCCTAGGGTGGGACGAGCACAGGGGCTGAAGGGCCCAGGTTGCTCCAGGAGCGCTGCAGACGGTGACCGGGAAGTGGGGTGACCAAGGAGCGTGGCCAAGGCCACAGTGATGAGCATGGTGGCGGGGGAGAGAGCACCTCACATACAAACTGCACGAGCTTCGGGTGCATGCACAGCTGGCCAAGGCCCAGGGTCACACAGGCTGGGCAACGGAGATGAGTCACACACGGCAGCACATCATCCAGTCCTCGGGGAGGTGAGGGTCGGCACGTGGCGGGCACCAGTCTGTAGGGCAGCCCCAGGCACCGCGCACAGGCATCCCTGCTCAGCTCCTGAGCCCGGGGCTCTCCTGCCAGGCCACACCACTGTCGTGCCCTCCTGCCTCAGGGCCGAGGGCCCACCCTGCGCTCCTTTTTCTTCCAGGGTGTTCCAGGATGGTCAAGTCCCAGCACTGAGAACAGCTCAGGTGTGGGTGTGGCTATTGTGGGGGCTGTGTCTGGTGAACTTGGTGGTTGGACAGTGCGGATGCAGTGAAGCCACGGAGGGTCACGACCGACGCAGGTTTGACCGCACAGGCCCAGGCAGGCGTGGACGTGGGAGCCGAGGGTGGTCGGACGGCAGTGTGAGCGCCAGTATCGCTTTTAGCGTTTCCATCTTTACCACTCCCGTCACTCTCTTCAAAAAGAAAGAACTAGAGCAAACCCAAAGTTAAGTATCTCAAGGAGAAGGGACACCTCACGTCGCTGACAGCTCGGCACGGGGCTGGTCCCAGCCCCGAGATACTGCGTAGTGAACAGTCACAGGGCTCTGTGCTGCAGCCCACCTCCCAGCAAACCACGAAGAGCCCCTGCCTTGAGTCCAAGAATGCCCAGGGGAGTGTAGGACGGGATGGCCCCCGCCCAGGCTGGAGAGCAGGCCGCTCCCACGCACCGAGAACCCCACGTGGCAGGCGGTGAGAACCTGAGTCTCCCTGGGGTCCTGCCTCCCGAGACGCTGTCCTCACACTGCAGTCGCTGATTCTTGGGTCAAATGAAAGGAGGAGGAACGATGAGGGCAGAGTGCAAACATGAAGTCGCCTGGGGGCGCTGGGGACAGGGGCGCGGTGGGCCCTACCAGTTCTGGTTGTCCCAGCCATCGTCGGCGGGCACGGCCAGTGGCACTGCCTTCTTGGCACCCTCCCCGCCCTCCCCACCGTCGCTGTTGCTGTTCCTGTTGGTGGAGGCCGAGCCCCACACCTCCCAGCTGTCCGAGCTCCTCCTCTCGGTGGAGGTGTCCGCGCACGTCCAGCTGTCGCTGCTTGGGGACTTGCGGGCCTTGGTGGGCTCAGCACTTCCAAAGGTCTCCCAGAAACTCTGGTCTATGGTGCTGTTTTGGAAGTGGTCCGGACCGCTGTTCTGGTAACTGTGGCCCTCCGAGGGGCTTTTAAAGAGACAGAAGGGGGATTCTGAATGACTGTTACTCAGCCCACCACTGGGAATTCTGTGCCCCCGAAAGCTCTGCACCTGGACAGTGACCACCTTCCCAGGCTAGCGCTCGGGGTCCACAGCAGCCCCACCAGGCGGGAGCTGTTTCTCCCACTTTATAGCAGTGGAAACTGCTGGGGAGCTGGAGAACCAAGGCCCACTCTATCAATCACCCAAACTGCAGGATAGTTCTACTAAAAACTTCTTTTTCTACCAGCTCCAAACTGCTGCGATAAAACAGTGGTTTAGTCAAGTGGGGAGGGGCAGGGGCACTGCCCTCAAGCTGGGACACAGGCTCTCCTGAGCAATACACTCAGCTACGCCAGCCTGAACCAGGCCCTGCCCTGTCCTCCGCTACGCTGGCCCCGAACCAGGCCCTGCCCTCTGTCCTCAGCTACGCCGGCCCCGAACCAGGCCCTGCCCTCTGTCCTCCGCTACGCCGGCCCCGAACCAGGCCCTGCCCTCTGTCCTCAGCTGCAATCACATCACTGAAAAACCACACACACAGAGGGAAGAGAAGGGCGTCTCAGCGAAAATTTGGGCCCACCTAGGGGGCAGCGCATCTGTGCCCACCAGCATTGGCCTTTCAGTAGACAGCACAAGGCCAGGCCCTACGAGATCCCCTGTGGTTCCCCTGCTGGAGTCAGAGGCCGAGAAAAGCAGCCAGCTTCCAGCAGAAATGCCTGGGGTGCCCAGCGCTAAGGGCAGAGCTGGACATGGGGGCCAGGACAGGTCTCTGGGGCCCCCAGCCCTCCTGTCCCCAGCCCCCCACCTGCTCCACCCACCCAGAGTCTGGAAGACAGAGGAACAGCAGAGTAGGGCCAGCTCCTCCTACGTGGGGGCGTGTGGGTGAGACCCTCCCTCCCACCCTAGCCTGGGGAGCCCAGTCAGGGCAGAGAGGGAGGACAGGCCTCTGCAGCTGCAGAGCACTCAGAGAGCCTTCCACAGCGCCCCCCTCCCCTCCCCAGCAACGATGCCGACCACCTCCCCGACAGCCTATGGGAGGAGTGGCCGAGGCAGGGGAGCGGGACGCAAGGCCCAGGAGGGGACACAGCGTACCTGTCCAAGGGGCCCTCTGCTTTCCCCGAAAAAAAGGTGGTGACGTCCCGCCATCCCTTACTACCGACTCCCTGGACCTGGAAGGCGATGGGAAGAGAGGTTAGGAAGGCCCTGTCGCGGCACAGGCAGCTTTTGGAGGCCCCCACACGCAAGCTGGCACACGCCATCCCGCTGAAAAGACCCGGGTAAAATCCAGAAACATCCAGAAACAAGGAGTGCCGCGCACACGCGTACAGACACAGACACGCACAGCCACGCCGCAGTGGCACCAGGTGCATGCGGGACACGGCAGTGAGGACAGCCTCGGGCACAGACCTCGAGAGCTCCCACCACGTGCTCGGGGGAGAGGACCGAGACCTGCTCTTCCCTCCCCGTCTGCAGAGCACCTCATGCCAGGAAACAGGACAAAATGCACGCCCCGAATGGCCCGCAGAGCAGTGAGACCAATGGCAGCTAAGACGGCGCTGGCACTTACCGAGGAAAAGGCCAGTGGCAGCAAGGTAAGAGCAGGAGAAGTGGCAGTTAGTGGCTGACCGGGCTGCAGTGGGCCAAGCTGTTTCCATATGCCTCGGGCCATCAGGCCGGGCAGCCCTCCTCCCATCTCAAGAGGACAGCGGCCACTGCCAAGGCAGGCTGGGGGCTGCACGGGGCACACCCTGCTCTCACGCCCAGGGCCGTGGAATATGGAGACTGGCTTTGACTGTGCCCGCACATGCGGCAGGCTCCCTACCTTGGACGCCAACTGAGAGACCCCACTGGATACATCATCAAAAATCTTTCCCTCCTTCACCTGCACGGATTAAGACGGCAGCATTAATGGGGGCGGCAGAGATTAAAGCTTAAAGCTTCAGGAGTGCAGGAATCCCCAGCGTGAGGGCATCCAAAGTAACAGGGGCCTGGGGACACCCGTCAGGCTGAGCCCCAGAAAGTCCTACAGGGGCCCCAAACGGATTCCAGCATCAAGAGCCCACGTCATTGCGAGGCCTGGTGTCTGCAGACGTGGCCCCGCCAGCCGCTGCTGACAAATAGCAACATGACCTGAGGACGCCCACGCTGCCCCGGGGGTGCCTGCCCTGCTTGTCCCAGTCAAGCCCCGAAGGAGGCAGGGAGCTGGCGGGGCTCTCGACCCCCGAGGATAGTGGGCATCATTCCCGTACCAGAGCCTCCTCTGGGCACAGCTCCAAGGCCCGCTGTGGGGGTGAGGCAGAGGATGGAGGTGGGCTGGGGGTGCTGGGCTCCGGGGCCAGCTGTAGGGGTGAGGCAGAGGAATGGAGGTGGGCTGGGGGGCTGCAAGGGAGGCCCTAGGCCAGGGAAAGGGATGAGCTGGGGGGTCTGAGAGGTACCTCTCTGAGTCCCAGCTGCTGGACAAACAATCCCCTAACGTCCCTGACGCACCCACATGCCCCGGAGCGAAGAGCTCCAGGCACAAGCAGCACGTCAACCACCCGCAGCTGCCCATTACCTTCTCCTGCGCAGGCTTGAGGACGTTCTCGTTCAGGCTGTGGCCCAGCTCGGACGCCTGCAGGAAGGAAAGTCACGTGAGCCCCATGGCAGCTCCACCGAGACACGGGTCGTCAGTAGCAGGCCAGGCCAGCAAAGGGCAGCGCGAGCTTCACCAGCAGGAAGGCAGGAAGGCAGCAGGATACAAATGCAGGGAGCAGGAAACAAGGCTTCGCACACAACACCTGAAGCGCAGTCGGTTGCCACATCTAGCAGGTGGAGACTGCGGCCCTCACACCCCCATTCTCGCAGGAAGTGCCCTCAGGACGAGGGGGAGCTCCCTCCGGGGTCCTCCCTCACGGGCCACCATGCGGCCGGCAGGGCTGGGCGGGTGGGAACATGCCCTGTGCAGCCTGTGCCTGACGCCAACACCAGCTGTAGCCACCCTGTGCTGACCTAGGATGCAGCTCCGCCTCCCCAGGCAGGCACTGAGTCCCCCATGGAGGGAAGGGGGCACGCAGGCCGGGGCCACAGGAAGAAGCTGCTGAGAAAGGAGCTCAGCCTCTCCTGATCCTGGGTCAGTGGTGTTAAGGCCACCTGGGGATGTGATGTGAGGCCTCCTCTTCCCCCAAAGGAGGGAGCAGCACGGATCAAAGCCCGGAAAGGGAATAACTCGTCACCGAGCAAAGATCCTCCCCTTTGCACTGTGTTTGAGGGAGCGCAGGCGGCCTGGAAACCCTGCTCAGCAGCTCGGCGCTCAGTGCCCCCGCCCTCCCTCCAGAGCCTCCCCAACAGCAAGCCTGGGTCGGGGGTCTGTGTGTTCTGGAGATGGGGGTCTCATTTAGTTGCCCAGGGTGGAGCACAGTAGTACTGTGCAGCGCTGACAGGCACACACAACCAAGCCTGATGCAGATCCTGGATCTTAAAGGAGAGCCATGGACCGAGGCCAGGGAGAGGGTCTGAGCGTGCGCACGCGTGAGGTGACACCAGACAGCAGCAGCACGGAGAGCCATGGACCGAGGCCAGGGAAAGGGTCTGAGCGTGCACACGCGTGAGGTGACACCAGACAGCAGCAGCAGCAGCAGCAGGACCGAGGAAGCCAAGCACACTCTCGGCAGAGACGCGGGCGGCATGCACGAGCAGACACGGGCTTTACCGGCTCCGGCTGCTGCTTGTGACCCCAAAACTTTACCCGACAGCAAGGAGACAGGTGAGGAGAGAGCAAGGTGAGGGGGGGCATTAGTAACCAGCAGCGCCTTCGAACCCGCCACGGGGCGCTGCAGCACTAAGGCAGCACCGGGCAGGCTCTCAGCAACACAACCCTGGAGCAGCCGCTCCCTGCCCGGGAACTGACCACCACCTGCAGGAACTGCTGAGCGACTGCAGCTCAGGACCCTGGGAGGCCTGCGGCAAAGCCAGGCAGGCGTCCCTGCAGCTGGGGGTGGGCACGTGGGGAGACTCCCTCAGACAGGAAGGGGGTGCTATGGGCCACGAGGGTGACTGATGGGCACCTTGTGAGAATGGACCCCCTCGCCCGGGGGCAAGGGCGTGTCCTAAAAAGCCACGCACAGCTCCACGCCTGCAGTCCTGAGCTTTCGTGGTGGGCCTCACGTGGGCACTGCCTCCTGGGTGTGATTCTGAATCCAAGGACAGCCAGACCACAGCCCTGACCACCAAGTGGGGACTGTGGGGCCCCCACCCACATCCTAAAGAATATAAAAACATAGGCCAGGCGTGGTGGCTCAAGCCTGTAATCCCAGCACTTTGGGACGCCGAGACGGGCGGATCACAAGGTCAGGAGATTGAGACCATCCTGGCTAACACGGTGAAACCCCGTCTCTACTAAAAAATACAAAAAAACTAGCCAGGTGAGGTGGCGGGCGCCTGCAGTCCCAGCTACTCGAGAGGCTGAGGCAGGAGAATGGCGTGAACCCGGGAGGCAGAGCTTGCAGTGAGCCGAGATCCGGTCACTGCACTCCAGCCTGGGCGACAGAGCGAGACTCCGTCTCAAAAAAACAAAAAAACAAAAAACAAAAAAAAAAACATGCAAAGGCCTGAGGCCACACTGCCTACAACTGGGGGATGCCCTGGCCAGGGCAAAGGGACCCTCCATTGCCTCAGCATGCAGACACATCCTACGTGCCGCAGGCACAGCACCACCCACGACAGCCCTTCCGGCTGAGCGGCCACCGCCAGTGTGGGTCATCTGCCAAGCCAGGCAGTCCTGCTCCCAGCGAGGTGGCCAGCGCAGTGGCTGCACACCTGCACCAGCTACCAGTGAACAGGAAATGAGTTTGGCTCGGCAGGCCCTGAGCGGGTACGTGAGGCAGCCACCCTGGCATGAGGAGGGAGCAACATGGTGGGCACAGCCCCTCCTGCGCTCTGAGCGTGTGGCCTGAGAAGAGGGAACCAGGCAGCTTCAGGCGCTGCACGTGACGTCAGAGACTCAGGATAGTTTTAGAAGCACCAGGGTTCAGAAGCTTCTCCTCTGTTACCTTCTGACTTGCTTGGGATCCAAACTTTGTAGCCTACAATGAAAAACAGACAAGGCTTGACGGTCTTTAACACGGACTGCCAGGCCTCCTTCCTCAGGGCCCACAGACTCAGGTCCAGGACTGTCTCCCAATGGCCCCTGGGCTGCCAGCAGCTCTCAGGTGGGGGGACTATAACTCTGAGATGCCCAGAAGAGCTGCAGTGGGGCCTGGATTAGCACAAATGCTGGCTTCTCCCTGGAGGGAGGCCAGCCCAGCAAGCTATTGGGGCGAGGGCACATGTGAGCAGTGTGCGAGGCCAGGGAACAGCAGGGCCAACCCCATCCTCCAGACTTCAGGACAGGGCGGGGACCTGCTGGAGCAGAGGACAGGCTGGGGAAGCCACACCAGCACTGTCTTCAATGGGTGGTGCCACTGCCCCAGGCTCATCTACCCCGCTGCGGGGGCAGCTCCATGCCAAGCACAGTCCAGCCACCTCGGTCACTTTTACGCTCTGGGGGAGGAGAAAAGGCCCAGCCGTGACACTGGCTGGAAGGTACCTGGGCCTCCCCAGGCCGCAGCCCTCCCGTGGTGACACAAAACGGAGGCCCTGGCGGGAACCAGAACCTCACACTTGGCAAAGTCACGGGGCCATGAGAGCTGGAGCCTGGACACCTGGCCTGCTGCCCCTTCCAGGGTGCTCCCAGGCCTGCCTCTCCCAGGGAAGACACGGGGCCAGAGTGACCACGGGGACCTCTGACAGGTGCGCACTGTGACTGGGGAAGCCACGGGGCCAGGGTGACCATGGGGACATCTGACAGGCGCGCACCGTGACTTCTGCTCATAAGAGCCCTAAACTGGGTGCCTTGGCTGCTTGTCTGGGCAGCTGCAGGCACCCAGCTGCCCTGCTCTGGGCTTCCCCTTCTCCTTTCACACCACAGCCCAGCCCCCGGGGGCCCACACCCCATCCTGATGCCAGGCCTGCTCTTGGGTCTCTGCCTAATGCTCCACTGTCTGCCCTGATGAAAGCCCCAAATCCTCCCGTTTCAGGTTGAGAAGCGGCGAAAGAGAGAAAATGCTACCAAAACACGACCTGAGCCCCAGAAGCTCTAGGGCACAGGGCACCCGAGACCTGCCCTGCTTGGTTAGGGTGGAGTCTAGGAATCAATGGGGCTCACATCTCCCTCACTTTCATCAGGGCGGGACCCCTTTGCCAGCAGCTGGTCTGACACAGGAGCGGCTCCTGACAGCCTGGGCTGCTGTGTTCCTGCAGAACCTCCAAGGCCTTGGGACCACCCTGGCTGGTACTGCGTTGGCACAGCCCATGGTTGGAGCACCCAGAAACCCTCTGTGTCCCACATCCCTTCTGCAGCTCCCAGAACGAGGTGGCCAGCGCAGTGGCTGCACACCTGCACCAGTTACCAGTGAACAGGAAACGAGTTTGGCCCCGCAGGCCCTGAGCGGGTACATGAGGCAGCCACCCTGGCATGAGGAGGGGAGCAACGTGGCGGGAACAGCCCCCTCCTACGCTCTGAGAGGCAGCGGCCCCCACAGACCAGCAAGCGGCCGGTGTCCTGAGGGCCTGGTGGGGACAGTGACTTACGCCCTCCTTGGCTGCTGAGGCAAACCGGCTGGCTCCAGTGGTGAAGCTGCTCCAGCCCTGAGGAAGGCGACAAAGAGCAGCTGCATCAGGACTGGGACCCAGGAACCCGGCGCTGAGCAGAGCATCTCAGCAAGGACGAGGACCAGGCCCCTGCCCTGTCCTGACCCCACAGCGCCTGCTTCGCCAGGCTGCTGGAGCAGTACAAATGGACCCAGGGCACAACGGACACGCGCCCTCTACCCCAACCTCGCCAACTGCAGTGCTCCCAACACGGTGCAATCCAGCCTCCTGTGGATCCCACCACCCTCAAGCAGCAAGCCCACACTGCAGGGCAGGACCCCTCCCCAGGGCCAGCGCTCCCTCCTGCCTCCCTAGAGGAACAGGCAGAGGTGAGGCATGTGGGGTCACAACTGCTGTAACCTGCTCTAACCTGCTCTCCTCCCCACGGCTGGCGCTTCCTCCTGCCTCCCCAGAGGAACAGAAAAAGGTGAGGCGTGTGGGGTCACGACCGCCGTAACCTGCTCTCCTTCATCTATGCTCAGGGTTTCCTCCTGAGTCTCCCGAGATAATTAAAGCTATTTAGAAAAATAAATGTCTCATTTCAATCACAACTCATCCTCTTCCTCCTAAAGGAAACACAAAGGGACCCTCACTTGAGAGATCACTAAGCTGAACTGCCTTCCCCAGAAAGCAGATGCCCAGCAAAAGGCAGCAAAAGGGCCACACACAGGCTGGAAAATGCACTTTTCTTTCCTAACGATGCAGCAATGACTGCAAGAGAAAGCAACCATGGCCATCAGTGGCCCGAGGTGCAGCCAGGCCATCCCGAGCAACTGGAAGCCACACACACCTGGGGGCTCCCAAGACTCTATGGCAGGGCTCCTTGCAGATGAAGCCATCCGTTTTAAACCTGCTTATTTTTAGCTAACATACTTTAAAGATCTTGTCATGTTAGTATTAAAAAATCCTTTCTGGCCAGGCATGGTGGCTCGTTCCTGTAATACTGGAACTTTGGGAAGCTAAGCAACTCAAGAGGCCCAGGTGGAAGGATCGCTTGAACCCAGGGTTCGAGGCTGCAGTGAGCTATAAATATGCCACTGCACTCCAGCCCTGGCAACAGAGCAAGACCCATCTCAAAATAAATAAATAAATAAATAAACAAGTCCTTCCTTGGCTCTCCGCGCAAGCTCCCATTCACGCGGCCCCTGTGGCCAGAGTCTCAGGTTGCTAGTGTCACAGACAATAATGCTGCGATGAATAAAAATCTTTTTTTTTTTTGACACGGAGTCGTACTCTGTCGCCCAGGCTGGAGTGCAATGGTGCTATCTAGGCTCACTGCAACCTCTGCCTGCCAGGTTCAAGCAATTCTCCTGCCTCAGCTTCCTTAGTAGCTGGGGCTACAAGGCACATACCACCCTGCCTGGCTAATTTTTATATTTTTTAATAGAGACGGGGTTTCGCCATGTTGGCCAGGCTGGTCTCGAACTCCTGACCTCAGGTGATCCGCCCGCCTCCACCTCTTAAAGTACTGGGATTACAGGCGTGAGCCATCACACCTGCAAGAATCATTTTTTAATCATTTTAATCATTTTTAATCATTTTAAAGACGGTAAAAATTTCCTTGGAAAATGAAAATCAAACAACATGTATTTCCGTTAATAGGAAAATGGCAACAAGCCCAGGGTGTCCTACTCTGAACATCTGACCTGGAGCTTCCAGGCACCCCCAGACCACAGGTGGCCCTGAGTGACCTCGGGTAGCGCCCGAGCGGCTTCCCAGCACGGCCAGACCCCCAAGCACAGAGCCAGCTTCCCACTGCACACAGCACTCCCTCTGCAGAGAACACGGCCAAGTGGCTGCCGTCAGAGCCCTTGGGTTCCTTGGAAGAACGTCCGCTGTTAGATTTGAAATACACACATTTTGTGTCAGAAGTAAGTGTTGGTTGGGTGCGGTGGCTCACTCCTGTCATCCCAGCACCTTGGGAGGCTGAGGTGGACAGATCATCAGAAGTCAGGAATTTGAAACCAACCTGGCCAACCTGGTGAAACCCCATCTCTACTAAAAATACAAAAATTAGCTGGACGTGATAGTGGGTGCCTATAATCCCAGCTACTCAGGAGGCTGAGGCAGGAGAATCACTTGAACCTGGGAGGCAGAGGTTGCAGTGAGCCAGATTGCGCCACCGCACTCCAGTCTGCAGCCTGGGCAACAAAGCAAGACTCCGTCTTTTAAAAAAAAAGAAGTGACTGAATTTGGGATCTGAAAAATTTAAGCCACATTTTTGCAAGAAAACGTCACTGAAGGTAAGGGAGGGGTCCTTAGATCACAGCAAGGCCAAGAGCACGTGTTCCAGGACTGCCACACTGCCCCCGACGGCCCGGCATGCCCTCAGTCCGGGTCTGCCCATGGGAGATGCTCTGCAGGGCCCACAAGTCCTCACCGAGTACAGGGAGGACATGGCGTTGTTGAGGAAGTCATCTTCTTTCTTCTGAGGCGGTGGCGTGTTCCCAAACCCCACGTAGCGATTCCCCTGGGCTCTGAAAACAAAGCGGACAAGAGGCTGAAGATGCTGGCGTGAACCCTGCTCCTCCTGAAGGTGTGGGGCCCTGAACAGAGGTGAGGCTGAGGCTCTGAGGGATGTGCCAGCGTCCCCCAGCACAGGACATGCACGCTGCCTCCCGTAGCAGCAGGAGCCTTGGCAGCTCCCCAGCAGCAGACAGACGTGCTTCCTGCTCATTTAAAAAGACCCTCCTGCCACATCACCAGAGAGGGTCCCCAGCAAGTCCCCAAACCCAGTCATAGAAGTACTGGAAGAAGGATCAAAACAACTTAATATGACAGCTTTGAGGATAAAAATTCACGTATAGGTCCAGCAAATTCCAAGCAGAAAATGTGTTATGCTTTTCTTCTAAGTGTTAGCTCTTCTCTACACCCAAGACCCCCAATCCACACCCGGGTGGGCAGCCGGGGCTCACTGCAGTCAGACCCTGCACCGGCACGTACGGGTCCCACACCCATTGCACACGGGAGGCCCCGAGGGAAGCAGCCCTACCCAGCAGACTGAACCCCGTGGGTCTGGCCTTCCCCAGGCATCCCCAGCTCTCAAGTCCTTACCCTTGATAGGAGCCGAGGTCATCATTCAGCCAGTCTTCGAAAGCCTTGTCCGAGGAGGCGGTCACACTCTGCAGCTGGCCAGAGGCTCTGAAACCAAGAATCAAAGGCTGGTGAGGTCAAAACTGGGTGAAGTCTGAGGGAACCCCAGCAGCACCCCCAGAACCATGTGGCCTATGTGGGCAGCGCCTTCACGTCACCCGAGAGCACCTGAGGCCAGGGTGGCCTTCAGCTCTGAGCGGATGTTCAGGCTCAGGTGCTGAAACCCAGCAATGCCAGCCTCATGGGCACCACGAGAGGCCTCCGCAGTGGGCTCTGCACTCTCCCCGTCAGCAGGAGGCAGAGGCGAGAGGTGGGGCAAGAGGACCGAGGGCCTGGAATCAAGCTGGAGTTGCCCGAAGTGCAAAGCCTTCTGCCAGAAACACCTGGCTGGCGGGGCTCCGGGGCTCCAGGTGAGGTGGGGAGGCCTCGTGCTACCCAGTCACCTCACCCGGGATGTTCCCTGCAGTGGGACGTGGGATGCATCCATGACAGGGGTCAGTTCAAGGGTGGCAGGGCCAGTGCCACAGGTAGATGGGCAACTCTGGGGAAGGGGAGACAGCACCTCTGTGGGCAGACGGAGTCGTGAATCCCACAGCGCCACGGCGCACACGGCTGTGTGCAAACGTGAATCCCACAGTGCCACGGCGCACACAGCTGTGTGCAGACGTGAATTCCCACAGCGCCACGGCGCACACGGCTGTGTGCACATCTGGAAGGCGTGCAGAGCTTACCTGGGGCACTCTTTGAGACAGTTTTATGGGTTGAAATTTACAAAAAGCTTGAATTGTTTTGGCAATTTAAAAAATCTGTTTTTCTCACTGACTTCTGGGAAAAGAGCTGTCACAACAGCAAAGAAGGGAATTCTGTGGGGTAACCCAGTCGACTAAGATCAGGGCCCAGTGGAAACTGCACTGAGGCCCCATGAGGAGCAGCTACCGGTGTGCCGTGAACGGCAGGGTCCTGGGCTGAGGTGGGGTCCAGTTCTGGGCAGGTGATGACTCCAGAGACCACTCTCTACCTTCGGCCAGAGCGGCCACCTGACAAGGAGACACGGGGCATCAGAGAGCATAAAGGTGCCTGGCGACACCCTTGGGCACCGCTGACTCTAGCGCAGCCCCCTCGGCCCGCCTGGAGCATCCACCACCCGCAGCCTCCTCCTGGCCCCGCTCGACGGCCCCTGCTCAGGTGCACAGACCAGGTGTGGACGCGAGGCCAGGGCTCCCTCTACATGAACAACAGAGCTGGGGAGCTCCTAGTTGGTGCAACTCCAACTTCAAACGCAGGGGGACCCACCCATTTGGCCTCCAAACTTCTTAGAAACACTGTGCCCAACAAGTCACAGAGGCAGTAAACGGTCACAGCTACTTTCTCCCCTGGAGGCAGGGAAGGTCCATCTCTCCCACAAGCCATGTGCCTCCCCTCTGGGCAGGGCAGCAAGGACCACGACATTCCCTTCTGTCCCGGACTATGTGTGGCCCAGTGGGTGTGTCAGAACCAGCAAAAGAACCAACTCCAGAACCACTAAAGGCAGAGCAGCCCCGCACCATGGGGCAAGAGTGAGTCGGGCCCATCTCTACCTTATCCCTAAAGAGGGCCGCGGCTCTGCTGTTGTACTTCTCCTGCAAGGACCAGCCGGGATCGTAGTCCTCCTGAGACTCCAGGAACTCTCGGAACTTAGCATTCCCGCCAGCTTTCATCTTCTCAAGCTCAATGTCCTTCCACTTGTCCATAGTAACAGAGCGCACAAAGCTGGAAACCAGAGGATTGAGCAAATCAACCAGCACCGGGGACACCCAGGGACACCCTCCACCCGACATCGTCCTGAGAATTAGACACAGCAAGCAGCAGCCGCAGGGAGGCCGAGTGGCCAGCAGCCGGAACCCTGTGCCATGGCGTCACTGGAGTGGACACTGGCAACTCAATGGGAGATGGCCCCCAAGCTTCCCTGGCGTCAGCACCTCCAGTGTCAGAAACAGACGCTGGGAAGGCCGCAGGCTCTCCGCAGAGCCGGAGTGGTAGGACACTGACCTGAGGTGCACCCCAAGCCCACGGTGTCTCCCCGAACATTCCAGGCAGATCCAGATGCCATAGGTCACACTGACCCACTGAGGATTGAATGCGCCACACTCAAAACAAACCTGCAAAGGGGCCACAAGTGACTCACCAGGTGGCTCAGGGCAGAGCCCAGGGACCCCAAAGATCCGACAGGTGGCCTCAAGAAGCAAATGCAGAGGGCTGCCCAGGGTGGCCGGGGGTGTGGGTCAGGGCAAGGCGTGAGGGAAAAGAGTCTCCCATGTAATAAAATGTTCAGATGGGAAGATGAGGCGGACCTGTCCTTAGAGCAATGTGGCCTGAGGAATGTGGAGGAGCCCCCACCCCCAACAGCCAGCACTGATGAGCGCCAGAAATGGCACCACTCTAAGAGCCGGCCACCCAGGCCACCAGCCAGCACAAGTCACACACGTCCAGAGGACGCCAACCACCATCGACTCCAGGAGGGTCTCAGAACCACGGACTCAGAGCACAACCTCCCGAGACTCGCTGACCCTGACCAAGGCTTGGGGCGGGGGTGGGGGGCAGAGGCTTACGTTGTTCTCATCCTGCACCCTGACTTCTTTAAGAACCTTCCTGGTTCTTGGGCTGGCCATGATGCTGCAAAGGAGAAAAACAAACACTTTAAACTTACAAACAGGCTACTCTACAAAAAAGAAAATAACGTCTGTCCAAAAACCCCACACAACAGAAAACCTGAGAGGCCATCTGCTGAGCTGCTGGGAAGCCCTGGTCACAGGGCCGCCCGCTGCAGGGGCCGAGAGGACCACGTACTGAAGGACTCTGCTCCCCATATCCCCAGGGGGCTCCCAGGCTGTGGCCGGGGCGATGGCCAGGAAGACCACGTAATTACTGGTGCCACTTTGCTTACGGTTATCCACCACCAAGACCGCATCATTTATAGAAAGTCCTGTCTTCTAATGGTGAAATTCACAGCAAGGGGCAGTCTTTAAAAACACACACAGACTGGCTGCTAAATTCAATTTTCCACCTAAAAGGCGACACACCACACTTGGGCTGATCACTGCCAACGACAGGGAGCCCAGGGACTCGGCGCTCCACCCTCCCCACCACATCGCCAACGCAGTGCAGGGAGGCTCCTGCCCGTGTCGGGGCAGAAGCGGTACCCTGCCTGGATGTGTGGAAAGTCCAGCCTGCTGGGGGACCTGCAGGTAGGGCCTTCTGGGGCCATTCTGAGGCATGGGGGCAACAGTGTGGCTGCTGCAGGACAAGGAGAGTGGCTTCATACCATCAGCCCCGCCACGGTGACTCACAGGGACCCTAGTGGGACAGTAGCAACAAGGTTTAGGGTGAAGAGAAAACCTATTGATGTTTCTGTAGCTCTCCTAGCTTTAGCAAAGTACAACTTCAACTGATGGCCCATCTGATTCAGGACCAGGAAAATCGACATAGTTAAGATTCTAAGCAGGAGGAAGGGGTGGTACCAACCCCAGCGTCAAAGGAGAATGACCCAGCGGTCCTGCACACAGCAGCACCGAGCAAACTGTAGAAGACAGTCCAGCCTGGAGGCAGCAGACCTGGATCCCCACCAGCCCACGCCTCAGTGCACTGTTTTTCTGAGGCTCTCCCACCTCTCAATACGAATGGAGCCGTGTGCTGTTCCCTCTACCTCTCACTACACGGAGAACACGCAGAACTCTGTAAGCCATGGGACCTTCCCAGCACCAGCCCTCCCCTCCTTCACTGTGTTTAGGAGGAGACCGTGTCGACCAGCTTTCCCACTAACGTTGTAGGTGGAACTTTACGTTGAGGTGAAGCTTTAAAAAAATTAAAAATTTAAAAAAAAAAACCCTCTGTCCTATATTTCATTTCTAATCTTAAGTATCCAGAAACGAGGTATTCACTGGGGGAGTCCCAACTCCACACAGCCAAAGTTTCTGAATTCTGAAGCCCATGACTCCTAATATTGACCAGTGCCCACTTTAAACCCATTCAAAGTCAGGAAATAAACACCCGTTTTCTGCAGTTCATAAAAACAAAACCAAAGTTCACCCTGGGCTCCCTTCTGCTCCATAATTCTCTGTGCCTTGTGTGAGAGTGTCCGGGAACCACAGATCATGAGGCAGTGAATGCTCACTCCTGATCGCAGGACTCGGACCCCAGCATGACTCATTCAGGCGGATACCGTCATCAAACTGAGCATCCACCAGTACAGCCGACTGAGGACGGAAGAGGGAGAACCTGTGTGGAGAGATGCCCTGGCAGGCGGGGAGCGAGGCTGAGCTTACAGGGTCCTCGGGACACATTCTTGTACAGCAGCCGCCGACGGCCCTGGCAGAACTACTGCACACGCAGAAGCCACGGCCCACGGAGAGGCGGTGAGCCGCCAAAGCAGGACGAGACCAATCCAGGTCTCCACACTCAGTCCTGCACTCTTTCCACAGCACCATGCCTGCCCTCAGGAGCTTATGTCTTGGTCAACAGACACAAGCAAACAAAAATCAGAACCATGAGGAGATGGCTTGAATTTCTAACTGTAAAACATACAGGATACTCGCAGAACCACCGGAGGAAGAAAACGTGCAAAAAGGAAAGGACTCAGCTTGGATTTAAAAGGAACTCCTCTAGGTGACTCATTGTGGATATTCAAGAGCCCTAGTTCCCTGAAATGTTAAAGTTAATAACACGAAAGCAAATACCTCCTAACCTTCAAAGCACAAATATAGTTTATCTTGAAAAATAATCCAAAACTCTTAACACTTGAAACCAAGATGCAAAAATATACCTCCTTCTGCAAGTGGATGTGACTTCAGCAAACATCAAACCCAGTGAGGACACTCTGTGTTAGTTCGGTAAGCTCCGGAGACTTCAAAACTCAGGATCCATAAGTTGGAACATTCTCAGTATGTGAGATCAAAAGGGATATTTAAGAACACTGTTTAGACCCTAGGGCTGTAACACAGCGACCGGCAGAAATACTAGCAGTCGTTCCCAGAAACTGTCTGAAGCGCCTCAACTACCCATGTCTAAGAAGAAGAGCCCTTTCGCTAAAGCACGGATTACTTCTGAACTTTGACAAGGACATGGTCCCAGAAAGGGACGCCAAAACAAAGCTAAGGGCTTCAATTCCCTGGACCACTTTACAGCCGAACTTTGGTGCTATAATCAGCAGAGCATGGCAGGAATATTAGACCTGCAAAAAATGAGCAGAATTACTTCTCAGAATTGGTGGGCTGTAATTAAAACTGTTTAAAAGAACAGGCAAGAAGCACAGTTCTTCTAAACACACATAAACTGAGAAGTTTTAAAAGCCCCTTCCTGGTTTCTTTTTCTCCCTCAAGACAGTCATCCACGTCAAAGGGTAAGGAGGAAAACCAAGCGAGCTGAGGCTGCCATTTCTGATGAGACTGGGCTCACCAACACCTGCTGGGCAGGACCCTCACTTCTTAGCAGGGGGAAGCTCCACCGGGCTTCAGAGGCCACCTGACTGGGATGTGTCCAGGCCGAGTCCTGTGTCCGAAGGAGCTCGGGAAGAGGGTGTTGAAGGAGACGGGGCAGGGTCCTGCTCGCGCCCCGGGAGGCGACGTGGGTGGGCAGGACCCTCCGGACTCCCGTAACCGGTGGGAAATTCCAGATCCGGGGTGCGGGTGGAGAGCAGCTTCGGAGGGAAGGGGCACGAGGGGCGGGGGGCGGCACGGCGGAGGGGCGGCTGCAGCAGGGCGTCCGCGCGAGAAGGGCCCCGCCGTCCAGCGCCGAGGGGACTGGGGGAGGTCGGGGTGGGCGCCCCCAAGCTCTGGGGCATCAGCCTCGGGGTGGAGCGGGGTCCGGGCGGGGGAGGCTGCGGCGGGGAGTCCGCCCGCGAAGGCCGGGGACGACGCCGCGGCAGCCGAGGCCTCAGGCCGAGCCCGGGCCGCCGAGCCGCGCGCTTACCTGTCGGGAGAGGCGGGCAGGGCCGCCGGGGTCAGGCCAGGGCCGGGTTCGGACCGCCGCACTGCAACGGGGATGCGCCCGGTCGCCCACCAGCCGCCACCAGCTTCCGGCTACGTTGCGCTTTGCAAGGTCTCATGGGAGCCGGCAGGGGCGGGACTTCCGCCTCAGGCCCCAGCCCCCCCAGGCGTGCACTCGCCCGGTCGCCATGGAGACGCGTAGCCGCGCCGTCCAACTCCCACCCCAGGCCCCGGACCGCCCCTGATCGCGGTGGCCGCGGAGGACAGCAGCATTTGGGGGCCGGGCGGGAGAAGCGTCCGTGCATCCGTGGAACCAAACTGAGGTGCTTCTGGGACGGCGCGTTCACCGGGGGCCGACAACGGGGGCGGGGCGAGTGGGGGCCTGGGGGGGAGCTGCGGGGCTGGAACCGCCCGGCAAGGGGACGGGGGTAGGAGGACCGGGGGCCATGGAGGACGGGCAGAGGGGCGAGGTCTACGGGGCGGGGGCAGAGGGGCCAGGACAGCTGGGGACCGGCAGGGGGACTCGGGTAGGAGGACCGGGGCAGCGGGTGACAGGCAGGGAGGCGAGGGTCACGGGCAGTGGGCAGCGGGGGACCGGCGCGGGGATGGAGGGTTGCGTCCTGGGGCCCGTGCTCCCGCCCTGGGGTCTGAGTCTCTCTTCCACCACCCGAGCCTTTGGGCCCTGGTGGGAGGCGGCGGGGTTGAGAGGGTCCGCAGGCCCCCACCCCTGCCACACAGATGCCCCAGGGTGCAGGTGTGCAATGGTCTGCACTAGGAAGGTACACAGCTGAAAAAGTGATCACCTGTGGGAGGTTAGTTGCACGTAATTTTTTGTTTTGTTTTTACTTTGTTTTTTTCTGTGCATTCTACGTGTTCCTCATTGATCTGGGTGACTTTCAAAATGATGGAGAATAAACATTTTTATTGAGGTATAAGCTACACACTGCAAAACGTGCAGTTCAATGAGTTTTGACAAATGCATACCCCCACATAATGTCTACCATAGTCAATTATAGAACATTTCCATCAGAGGCAGCCACTCTTCTGATTCCAATATCGCCATATCTTAGTTTTGTCTCTTCTGGAATATCACACAAATAGAGCTGTGCAAAATATACCTTCGTGATGGCTTTCCTTTAACGTGATGTCTCTGAGATTCAGCCACATTGCACGTATCCGTAACTGGTTCCTTTTTATTGCCGAGCAGTGTGCCATGGGAAACACGCCACTTCCTTCATTTATTCACACTTTGGACACTGGGGTCGTGTCAGTTTTGGCTAGTATGAGTAAAGCTATCTTGAAAGGTCTTTGTGTAGGCATATTTTTTCTTCCTCTTAGGTGATTACCTAGAAGTGAAATTTCTGGGTCCTGAGTAGGTGGGTATGGAACATTATTAAAACATGCTAAGTGGTCGAGCGCAGTGACTCACGCCTGTAATCCCAACACTTTGGAAGGCCGGGGCAGGCGGATCACCAGAGGTCAGGAGTTCAAGACCAGCCTGGCCAACGTGGCGAAACCTCATCTCTACTAAAAATACAAAAATTAGCTGGGCTTGGGGGCGCACACCTGTAATCCCAGCTACTCAGGAGGCTGAAGCAGAATTGCTTGAACCCTGGAGGTGGAGGTTGCAGTGAGCTGAGATTGCGCCACTGCACTCCAGCCTGGGCGACAGAGCGCGACTGCATCTCAAAACAACAACAACAACAAAAAAGATGGTAAGCATTTCACGCTTCTGCCAGCGATGTGTGAGGTCCAGCTGCTCTGCGTGTCTGTCAACACTGGGTATTGTTGGTCTTTTGACGGCAGCAGGACTTGTGGGTACAAAATGGTGTCTCAATGCCGTTTATTTGCCCTCAGGAGGGAGTCACCAATTCTTGCAGTAAGAAACCACTGGTGTGCACAGAAAGGAGAGGGCCAAGGTGATGTGCACAGGCACATCTACCAGCAGCATGGACACAAGTGGCAGTTGGAACAGTGTAGATTTCAGCACCGGATCTCATGGTCAGGACTGTGTGGGTGCCATGAGTTCAGAGAGTGGGAGCCATGTCCTGGATTAGTCACAGTGGGCTGCCTGGAAGAGGTGGACTGTGAAGGTTGAGAAGCTGAAAAGGAGGAGAGGAAAAGGGAAGGCAGTCTTGGAAGGGGCACAGTTGGGGCCAACATCTGGCATTGGGTGACCAGTGGAAGCTGAACTTGCAGTTTTCTGATTGTAAAGCCAGTAGTCAGAGTGCTGCCTCATCAACCAGGCCCACCCAGACTCTGGGAGGTCTGGGGCTACCTCCACCCCTAGAGCAAGGCCCCAGTTCCTACAGCTCAGATCAGAGGCGTGGCCCTTCCAAGGACAGGGTAGCTCCTGCCTCACAGCATCCACAGCAGCCTCGCCTCTCCCTGCAATCCCTGGCTCGCAGTGGCCAACTCACAGCGGGGCCAAAGCTCACTCGGTGGCGGGATCTGGCAATGGAGTGGGGAATGGTGCGGAACCTGCAGCTGCAAATTGAAAACATTCTATTTTCCCATCTAAAATATTTAGATAATTTGTTTTTCTTCTAGAACTGCCAGCAGTCCATTAATTTTCAGTTATAGTAATGCGATCATCTCTGTGCTTTCCTCCCTGAGGCTCTTGAAGGTCTTGATGTGAATAAAATCAAACAATAATACAAAAACAGTGAAATGAGAACTTCTGAGTAAACGGCTGTGCAGAGCTGCCACAGGCAGGTGAGCAGGAATGAAGCTGCTGTGAGCCAGGCAGGAGTCCAGGTCACCTGTGAAGTCGTGGGACCTGTGGCAAAGCACTGCCTTTCCCTGGACTCAGGTCACCCATCTGTGGAACAAGGTCCCTAGACCCAGGTCACCCATCTGTGGAACAAGGCCTCCAATTTCCCTTTCAAGCCTACACTGGCTGAGCACTTGCCAGAATCGCAGCCCTGGGCTCGATGAGGAAGAGCACATTTAAACCACACAACCATCCACTCTGATATGAACCCATTGTTCAGACGAGGAAGCCGGGGCACAGTACAATTCAATAATTTGCCCAAAGTGAAAAAGATGGTAAGTGGTGGAGCGAAGCTTTGCACCCAGAAGTCTGTAATGCCCTTTTTGGAAGGAGAAGGGTGTGTGGAGCCAGCCATCCACTGGGCCAGGGCCAGGCGTGCCCTGTGATGGGGAGATACAGCGTCAGTTCCGGGGTGAGGACCACAGAGGTTTCATTCTAAACACAAGGAACAGAGAAAGTGGGCAGGGCCTTGAGCACAGGTCCTCTGTGACCCTGTGTGGGCCTCACAGCCAGTCAGCCTTGTCCACAGCGTCCAGCCAGCTCCCAGCAGGGGTGGCAGAGCCTGAGGAGCAGCTCGAGCTACCCAAGGCTGGGGTGTGTGCACACACATATGTGCAGTGTGTGTATATGTGCATGTACGTGTGTGTGTGCGTGCATTTCTGTGCATGGGTACTGCATGTATGGGTACATGCCTTCAGGCTCATCAGCTTAGGGTCACCATACTGGGTCAGTTATGGGGCATCCCCAAGGGCAGCCGCCCTCCTAGGGCTTCCTTGCAAGGCAGGTCCCGCTGCATCCACACGTTGCATAGCTGCCAAGGCTGGGGATCAGACTATGGAGAGACATGCCCAAAGTCCCACAGTGGGTGGCAGCAGCACACAGATGGGGCCCCAGGCCACCCCCACCCCAGAGGCCCCGGGCCAGCCTTGCTGGAATGCCTCCAGCATAGCCAGAGGGTCAGGGGCCCCAGGCACCATGTCCCTTCCTGCCTGATCCGCCCTCCACGGGGCCCCTGCGCTGTCAAAGCACCTCCCACTCCAGCAATTTGTGCAGCTCTTGGGAAGCCCCGCTGTCTGCATCTAAGGAGTGGCCGGGAGCCTCCTGCATGGCAGGACCAACGGGCGTCTCGAAATGACTCTTGGTCTCGTCAACTGTCCAAGAGAGGGCTCCAGGCCCCCATGAGAGGCGCATCTGGCCTTAGTGTCACCAGAGCCCTTAGTCTCCCCCGGACTCTGAGCTCACCTTGAAAACTGAGGCTGGCCGGGCGCGGTGGCTCAAGCCTGTAATCCCAGCACTTTGGGAGGCCGAGGCGGGCGGATCACGAGGTCAGGAGATCGAGACCATCCTGGCTAACACGGTGAAACCCCGTCTCCACTAAAAATACAAAAAAAATTAGCCGGGCGTGGTGGCGGCGCCTGTAGTCCCAGCTACTCGGGAGGCTGAGGCAGGAGAATGGCGGGAACCCGGGAGGCGGAGCTTGCAGTGAGCCGAGATCGCGCCACTGCACTCCAGCCTGGGCGACAGAGCAAGACTCTGCCTCAAAAAAAAAAAAAAAAAAAAAGAAAACTGAGGCTCAGCCCAGCAGACATGGCCATGCATCCGGCTGAGAGCCCCTCCCAGCTCAGCTCCTCCCATCCTGCGTCCCGCTCACCTTTCTCCAGGGAGCATGCCTGAATGCTGGTGTTCCTCTAAATTCCCATGTTGAAATCTCAACCGCCAATGTGATGGTTTCAGGAGATGAGGCCTTTGGGAGGTGATGAGGTCTCAAAGGCAGAGCCCTCATGAATGGGATGAGTGCCCTCATAAAAGGGACCCCAGAGAGACCCAACCCCTTTTCCCGTGCAAGGACACGGAGAGGAGGTGTCAGCTCTTAGGCAGCAGCCCCTCATCCAGCCCAGAATATTCCCATGCCTTGATCTTGAACTTCCAGCCTCCAGAACTGTGAGAAATGAATTTCTGTTGTTTATAAGCCACACAGTCTACTGGATTTTGTTACAGCAGCCCGAGCAGATTAAAACAAGCACCTCCCAAAGAATCACTGGCACAGCAATCCCTGTCTTCAGCCTCCAGGGAACCTGACCTACGACAGCAGCCCCCCCAGCTGGCATTCCAGCTGCCGTGTGCCGTGATGGGTGCCAGCATCTCTTAGTGGGGGTGAAGGGGAGGGGCCAGCAGCATAGCAAAGGGGAAATCCTCCTGGATCGTCACCTTGCTCTCTGCAGCCCTCTCCATCACCAGTGTCAACCTGCAAGTCAGGTCACCTTGAGCCAAAGCCCCCCTCGCTGGGCTGCTCCGTGCTCAGGCTGCTCCACGCTCAGAGCTCCACGCTGCCTGGTACAGTCCCCGGAAGTTCTCCTGTCCAGTAGTTCCTTCTTTCTGCCCAGACCTCGCTCAGCACCGTCATCCTAGGAATAAAATCCCAGGAATAAAGTCGTCATTCCAGGCCTCCCAGGAACTTGGGTTCTGGTCTTGTCTCTGCCCCGCCCTCTCATGCAGCTGCTGGGGGCCTCCAACCCCTGCTCACTCACCCACGCCCTCTGCACCCTCCACCTGAGAGAATCCTGGTCACTCCCCTGGCCCTGCCCTGCCCCGTTGTCTGGGAGTGGCTGGAGGGCTGGCTCGTCCCCTCACCCCCTCCCTGTCTCTTGGTGTGTCCGGCCAGGGCTCACACAGAGGCAGCTCCAGGGAAATTCCTGTGGCTCAACTGCTGGGTCCTGCATTGCCACCATGATCACGGCCAGCTTGAGCGGTGACAGGTGGGAAGAAGTGGGGCAGGGGCGGGGGAGCTGACTCGCAGGAGGGGCTTCCAGGAAGGAGGGAGCCTGCAACCCCAGGGCACCATGGGGGCCTCAGAGGCTTGAAAGCCCCTCTGGTCCTGGGCAGGGCCTCCAGAGGGAGCACGGCCAGCAGTTTGGGGTGGACCTGCCCAGATTTTGTTTTCCGCTAAAACAGGCACACGGCGTGGGCTTCCCTGCCACTCACACCTCGCTTGGTGGCTTTCTTGTGTCTATAGCAGAGGCTCGCTCGTTCCTCTTAACCACTGGCGTGTCTTACCTTCTCTAACTGGCCTCTGATTGGAAGACAGAGTTCTCCTGTCACAATCATCATTACTTTGTTTTACCATCGATGTTGCAATGGACATACTTGTACGGTGACCTCTCTCTGTTTGTGCGAGTATTTCCACAGCATAGACCTCTAGAGGTGGAAGTGCCAGGTAAGTTCTGGGAGATTCCACCAAATTGTCCTCCAAACCCCGTGCCAGATGTGCTGATGGGAGAGTGCCTGTTCCTTGCATCCCCTCCCGGGCTTCCATTACCAAGGGGGCTGTCTCCACCAGTCTCTAAGCACACACGTTACCATTGCTGTTTAATTTTCATCGTCTTAATGGTGGTGAGGCCAAGTAAACACACCCTGGCCATGGCGTGTCCTATGGATGCCTGTGTTTTTCTCTGCCCATTTTTGTCTCCTGTTGATCACCTTCCACCACCAGGTCCTTCTGAAACGGCTTTGTCCTGTGTCTGGAGAGAAGTACGTGGGGTTGGCCCAGGGTTGCCCATGATGATGCCGCCTTGGTCCTGGAGAGAAGCGTGCGGGGTTGACCCGGGGCTGCCCACGACGGTGCTGCCTTGGTCCTGGCTTCTGACCCGCTGCATGGGGGGACTACAAGTGGCTAGTTCCAGCCCTGTCTGACCCCGCCCCGCTGCTGCCTGTGTATGGCGTCCGGGAAGAACTGGGGCCCAGGACAGAAGGAAATGGGAGGAATGTCAGGGTGTGTGCATCGCCCAGAAGTACAAATGTTGCTTGACAATTCTGAGCTGCTCTGTCCTGAGCTCCAAGAAACTCGCAGCTGTGCTGAATTATGCGTGCCCACGGCGGCTAAGGAGTCACAGTTAAGAATGTGCTGAGACAGGGCCAGCTCCTCAGATTGCAGAACTGACAGCTCAGATCCTGGGGCTGTGACAGCTGGACCCACAGGGTCCTCCTGCTTTGGCCCCTCCCATGCGCATCTTAGCCAGGAATCTTTCCAGATTCTAGTTGCTAGAGGCAAAAATCTCAACCCCAAATGGCTTAGCAAAGGGAATGTATTGATTTGTGTGATGAAAAGTCTAGAACAAAGTTCAATTTCAGGTGTGACTTGATCCAGCAGCTCAACACTATTGCTGAGCGCTCTGTGTGCGTGTGCATTTCCATCTTCATCCTGAGATCCCAAGATGCTTCTGGCAGCTTCTAAGGCTGCAAGCTTCATGATTCGCCTCCAGCAAGACAAAGTAACCTTGCACCAGCATCCCAGCCAAAAGCTCACGCTCCACCCTGATGGGCCTAGCTGGGGTCGTGTGTCCACGTCCAAACAATCACCGGCCAGGAGGATAGAATGTGCTGACTGGGTGCCCTGGGCTCCAAGCTCCAGCCCTGAGGCCCATGTGGACTCAGTTTCCCCAGACTGTGAGGACCCCTAGCAGAAGACCAAGGTATTGGGCACAGAGGGCAAGGTATTGAGAGCCTTGCCGCAAACAGGCGCTGTGTGGCTGTGCTTCCATGCTCCCGAGGGACCGGGAGACTTCCTGTGCGATGGGAGTTGTTCCCATGTGTTCCCAGGCCCAGCTGGCTTCCGACAGCCAAAGCGGTACCAATGCTGGTGACCGACTGGTGGGCATTACCAGCTTCCCAAACTGGGCTGCTTCTCTTCTGCAGGACCAGGCAGTGTGAGGGTCGGGGGCAGGGACAGTGTGGGGAGAGAAGGGACTGGGCTGCGGGGGCACTGAGACATCTCCCCATCCAACCCCTGCCCAGGAAAGGGGGCGGGGCTTGTGCAGAGGCAGATAAACGCTTGACCTGACCAGCAGTTTAAAATATTGTTTCAGGCCGGGTGCTGCGGCTCACACCTGCAATCCCAGCACTTTGGGAGGCCGAGGTGGGCAGATCACCTGAGGTCAGGAGTTCGAGACCAGCTTGACTAACATGGTGAGACCCTGTCTCTACCAGAAATACAAAAATTAGCCAGGTGTGGTGGTGGGCGCCCGTAATTCCAGCTACTCAGGAGGCTGAGGCAGGAGAATCGCTTGAACGCGGGAGGTGGAGGTTGCAGTGAGCCGAGATCGCGCCAATGCCAATGCCTGGGTGACAGAGCGAGACTTCATCTAGAAAAAAAAAAAATAACATTGTTTCAATATTAAAACAAGCTTAAGTACATTACAAAGTGAAATTCAAGTGCATTTTAAGGATGAAATGGGAGCTCTTGGTGAAATCCCAAGTTTATAGCAGGCGGCTCTGGCTGGGCCAAGTCTCAGAAATGAGATCTGTTTCTTTAGAGACTTTGAGGAATGCTCACTGGGTCCCCAACTCACACCTCTGTTTTGAGATGACTTTGTTAATTAGTCATCCAACACTGCCCGTGTTGATTCATTCAACACTGACATTTCTGAGCGTCTGCTGGGTTCCAGGTTCTGTGCTGGGAGCATGTTGCGGGGCAGGCACAACTCAGAGTGTCCCCCTTCGAGGGATGACCAGACGGACGGCAGTGAACGCCACGAAGAGCAGGCGGGCGGCCCCGATGCAGGCCTTGGCCCTTCCCGGGTGCTGTAGGGTAGTGAGGAAGCACAGGCCCAGCAGCAGGAAGGCTGGTGTGTTTCTGAGCCTGGAGAAGCCACAAGCTCGTGTGCTGGAGACACGGACAGCTAGGCATGTGCCTGGCCCTGAAGTCCCCGAGCAGCACAGTCTAGAGGCTCACAGCCACCGTCCCCACTACAGCCAGCAGCCGAGGCAACCAGAAAATGCACAGGGGCATGGCAAGCGGACGCCACGTGTCCACATCGCTAAGGACCGCACGGCCACGCAAACAAGCACACCACTGCCACCAGGACACAGACGAGTCTCATGCCGCACTGGACACGGTCTGGGCTGCGCCATCCACTTACATAGACCACCCCCCAGAACAGGCGAGACCCACCAGTGCTGGGCAGGGGCCGACAACTGCTCCTGTCAAAGAAAACTGAATGCAGAGGCTGTTGGTTTGGACGGAGCTCCTGCAGGAGGCCCAACAGGCAAAACCAAAATGGAGTCACTCATGCTGCGGTTCCTAAGATCTGTATCTGACCGCCCCCACCCTTTCCAGAAACCAGGGAGAGATAGCAGCCAAGTCCCCAAACAGCCACCAGAAGCCAACAAGAAGCCGACATGATAAGGAAGTCACCTCTGCTTTAACCCTTTTTTTTTTTTTTTTTTGAGACGGAGTCTCGCTCTATCCCCAGGCTGGAGTACAGCGGCGTGATCTTGGCTCACTGCAAGCTTTGCCTCCTGGGTTCAAGCGATTCTCCTGCCTCAGCCTCCTGAGTAGCTGGGACTACAGGTGTGCACCACCATGCCTGGCTAATTTTTTTTTTGTTTTTTTTTTTTTTTGAACGGAGTCTCGCTCTGTCGCCCAGCTGGAGGCAGTGGCGCGATCTCGGCTCACTGCAGCTCCGCCTCCGGTTCACGCCATTCTCCTGCCTCAGCCTCCCGAGTAGCTGGGACTACAGGCGCCCACAACCGCGCCTGGCTAATTTTTGTATTTTAGTAGAGACGGGGTTTCACCGTGGTCCGATCTCCTGACCTTGATCCGCCCGCCTCGCCTCCCAAGTGTTGGATTACAGCTGAGCCACCGCCCGCCTGCCTGGCTAATTTTTGTATTTTTAGTAGAGACAGGGTTTCACCATGTTGGCCAGGACAGTCTCTATCTCCTGACCTCGTGATCTGCCCGCTTCAGCCTCCCAAAGTGCTGGGATTACAGGTGTGAGCCAACGCACCCGGCCTTTTTTGTTTTTTTTTTCTTTTGAGATGGAGTCTCGCTCTGTCACCCAGGCTAGAGTGCAGTGGTTCAAGCTCAGCTCACTACAACCTCCGCCTCCCGGGTTCAGGCAGTTCTCCTGCCTCGGTCTCCTGAGTAGCTGGGATTACAGGTATGCATCACCACACCCAGCTAATTTTTGTATTTTTGGTAGAAACAGGGTTTCACCATGTTGGCCAGGCTGGTCTCGAACCACTGACTTCCAGTGATCTGCCCCCCTCGGCCTCCCAAAGTGCTGGGATCACAGGGGTGGGCTTTAATCCTCTGCTTTAACCTTTACAGGAAAAGTAACTTTGAAGTGACCAGCACGCCTTTGGTTTCTGTCTGCTTTCCTTGGGCCTCTTCTGTCTGTGAAACCGACCTCCCCTCAGCTCATTAGAGCGTTCGTTGTGTTTTATGGAAAGAGGTGTTGCCCGATTCTAGAGTCGCAAATAAAACCCAACTCAGATCTCGAAACTAAATGTGTTGTTTTGTCTCTGACACTCCTTCTGGGGGGGAAGCACTGACTGGGGGCCAGCAGGAGGGGGTTTCAGGGGAGCAGGAGGGTCTGTGTGTGGCCCCATGGGTGACTAGTGACGAGGTGCAGCTTACTTCCTGCACACAGGTGTCTCCTGCTGAGGGCCCCCACCTGTCTGCAGGTGCGCCCTCTCCGTACCGCAGTCCAGGCGTCCTCTCTCTCTGCGCCTGCAGTCCAGGCGTCCTGTGCCGTTCACTCCCACACCGGGGTGAGGAGGCGCTGCCAGAGCCCCAGCCCTGGGGACTGGGAGTCCCAGGACCTGGAGTGAAACTCAGTCCTTCCACTTCTGAGCTGTGGGGTCACTCAGTGCGTCCCCATCCCCGTCTCCCATGGGTCACTCAGCGCGTCCCCACCCATCTCCCGTGGGTCACTCAGCGCGTCCCCACCCCGTCTCCCGTGGGTCACTCAGAGTGTCCCCACCCGTGTCCTGTGGCTTACTCAGACGTCCCCATCTCCTGTGGGTCACTCGCGCATCCCCACCCCCATCTCCCGTGGGTCACTCAGCGCGTCCCCACCCCCGTCTCCCGTGGGTCATTCAGCGCGTCCCCACCCGTCTCCCGTGGGTCACTCAGAGTGTCCCCACCCCTGTGTCCTGTGGCTTACTCAGAACGTCCCCATCTCCTGTGGGTCACTCAGCGCGTCCCCACCCCCATCTCCCATGGGTCGCTCATCACGTCCCCACCTCTGTCTCCCGTGGGTCATTCAGCGCGTCCCCACCCGTCTCCTCATCTGCAGAACAGGAGAATGGATGTTTGCTTCCTCCGGGGGTTCTTGTAAAAGTAAACGAGGTGACAGGAGGATGATGGGGACGGAAGGAAGTCCCTGCTATGGCTGCTGTGGGGGCTTCTCAGTGCAGGGTGGTGCCTCCCGGGCTCCGGCAGGAAGAGGGAGCGGCAGAGACTGGGGAGGGGGCACTGGTGTTTCCTCCTCAAGCAAAATCAAATGAGGCTGCCGGGCGCTTCCTATGCTTCCAAAGCCAGGACATGGCCGTGGGGCACTCCTGAGTCCTTCCTGGCACTTCCCGCTCTGGTTTGAGTGACATCTCCTCCACAAGTTGTGTTCAAAGAGAGTCCCCCCCCCCCACAGCACTTAGACGTGTGGCTTCTGGGGGAACGGGACAGCACCTGTGCACGGGCTCCAGGTGGAAGGGAGCCCCCACTGCCTCCCTCCTGGCACCATGTGAGGCCACGGCCTTTGACCCCCCTGGAGGAGGCAGCAATCAGGCGCCCTCTGGAAGCAGAGAGCAGCTCTTGCCAAGCAGCGACCCTGCTAAAGACTCAGTGCCGGACTTCCAGCCTCCAGAAAAACTCTGTGCTTATGTACAACCCAGTCCGAGGCGTTTGTTACAGTGACACAAACGGAGTGAGGCGCTCCCCAAACACGGACCCCACGCCAGACGCCGGGGCCTCCATCAGGAAAGACAGAGAGAGGAGAGGGAGGCAGAGGGAGGGAGGGGTGTGTGGCGCTGGCCTCCGGGGAGGGCAGACAGATCCACAGGCAGCAGCCTGGCTATCCTTCTCTTTGATTTTTTTCATTTGTTTAATGATCCGAATGCTTGAGCAAGAAACCCCAGCCTCGCCTGCCTCGGCCTTGCTTTTCTCTTTGATCCCTGAGTTGCTGAGATTAAAGATGAGGTCCCAGATGAGAGCTACCAAGATGTGGTCGAGCGGCCCTGGCCCCTGGGTTCCCACAGAGAGGGTCTGGGGAGATCCAGGGTAGGGGCTGGCTTAGGGCCTGGACTCACAATCCCGGGGAGGGCCAGGGCGGGGCCTGGACTCAGTGAGGCCTCTGTGTTGTGCTGTGTTGGGCTCAGGGCAGCACGCCCTTCTCCTGCCGGGGGCTTCACGTAGAGACTTTAGGCTCCAGGGCAGCACGCCCTTCTCCTGCCGGGGGCTTCACGTAGAGACTCGTGCTGGGGGCACCCAGGGGTCTCTTTGAGGGCAGGCGGCCAGTCCTGGGGCTTCGTGCCTCATCTGCAGCTGCCCCTGCTGCCCCCTCGAGAGGCACCGGCAGTGCCTGCCACCCAGCCGGGTCTGGGTTGCGCTATTTTGGTGTTGGCATTTACTCCTGGCGTCAGCCAGCAACCACGGGCACGGCCTTACCCCATAAGTGGTGCATCCCAAAGCTGGTGCAGCCCACGTTCTGCGCTAGAAGAGCCCACACCTGTGCCAGGAAGCCCTGCAGAGGCCGCAGCTGCTTCCAGGCACTAAATGTCAGCTTGACACAGCCTGGCACGGAGCTGGGTTCCTTCTGTGCCCACTCCCCATGGCTGTGTGGCCTCCCCGAGAGTCGGCTTTCCCCTCTGAAGACGGGATCAGGCCACCTGCCTCAGGGGCCGGGGAGAGCACACTGGGCAAGCACAGGGCGGGGTGCTCAGTCCCAGCTGAGGCCGAGGGGTGCAGTCTGCACTGGCTGGGCTGTTCTTGCTGGTGGCATGGGGCCTGGGGAAGGATGGAGCCTAATGTAGGCTCAGGAGGAGGGACGGCAGGCTGGGATCCGGAGGTGTCTGTGGGGCGGCGATGGCTGTGGGGTGGGCGAGATGAGCCACACCCACCCTTGCCATTGAAACTTCCTCTGCACCCAGGTGATCCAAGCTCCCAACCAGTGCAGTGGAGTGGCCGTGGTTGCAATCCCCTAGCCCCAGCACCCGGCTTTGAAAGCAGAGAGGCCAAGGCCCTCCCATAGATGGACGGAATGGCCAAGGCAGGAGACCACAGGAGCCCTGGTCCCACTGAGTGTCTCAGGAAGCACCCTCTCCCCTTACATGTATTTGCTCTCCTCTCAGCCGACGCTCTCTCTTCCTGAAGAGTAAGTGTTGTAGGGCGGGCAGGCTTAGGGCCCAGCCAGGGGGCGGCTGCAGCCAGGGCCAGGGGCATTGCAAAGCACCAAGAACTGATGATACACGGGCTCAGGCTCTCAGCGTCCTGCCATCCGTCAGTAGAGCTGGGAGGGACACAGGCTGGGCCTCACCTGGCCAGAGGTGTGGAGGATGCAGAGACCTCTGACCGAACCGGCCACGTTCGCCACCACATTTGCCATCACACCCTGACGCCTGTGGCCACCCGTGCAGCTGGAGGCTGAGGCGGCAGGTGCTGAGCCAGGTGGGTGTCAGAACCGGGACTCAGAATCCTGCACGGCCTCCACTCGGTTCCCACCTGCTCTGCGTGGCAGACTTGGCTGAGGCGGAGGAGAAAGTCAGCCGACCCGCAGGAGGGCGAGGAGTGCGAGGCGTGCAAGGTGCACCGGAGGCTGCTCTCTGGGGACTGAGACACCTCCCGGGACTTCCCAGGCTCACAGCAGCCCCTGGGGAGAGAGGCCACACGTGTGCACAGGAGCCACGGGGATCTTCTTAAACAAGCTACGTGACCCCCCCAGGACAGGCCCATCGCCCAGAGCTCCCACCTCTGGGAAAGGACCCCGGACAGGAAGGACAGGAAAGCCCCGGGGCTGGTTCTGTGGTCGCGGCAACAGAAGCTGGAAAGGCGCGGCCTGGGGAGCAGGCTCAGGAAGACAGCCCGGTGGCTGGGGGCTCCCCTCCGGGAGCTGCGGCCATGATCCTAGCTGCCCCTCTGCCCCCTCAGCCGAGGGCTCACAGTCCCAGGGAGAGTCTGATGGCCACGCTCAGGCCGAGGCCACGTCTCTACCGCCAGCCCGAGGACGTGGTTGATGTGCCCCCGAGGTTGTGCACACACAGCCCGCATGGCCGCAAGGAAGCCATTGCAGGACAATCCGAGTGAGGGAGAGGCGGCACTGCCAATGGAAACCAGGCGATTCGGGGACAGAGGGCCCAGGAAGCTGAAGTGCCTCTGCCTCCGAGAACAAGAAGGCAGGGTGGGAAACGGTATTTCTGGTGAAGAAAAATTCCAAAATGGAGGTGGGGGGCCGGGTGTGTGCTGTTAGGGCTGGAAGTGGGGGGCCACACTGCTCTGCGGGGAGCTGGCATCTGGGTGGGTCCTGAGTGTGGGAACGGAGTTCAGGGGGTGGGGGATTGCGGGGAACAGGACCACGCGCACCGTGAGGGGCCAGGGAGCAAGAATCTCACCCAGGAAGCCTGGGCTGAAGCCAGCTGGGAAGAAGCGTTGGCCACTCCCAGGCAGCTCCCAAGAAACCTCCGGGAAACGCCCCACCTGATGCAAGCATCCTGGGCTGCCCCTGAAGTCCAGCTCAGCCTGATTCCCACACTGGGAGTGCACATGGTGCTGCCCTGTTAGGCAGGATGTTCCTTTCGGGAAGGAGAAGCTGGGACTGGAGAGACCCGGGCCGGGCTCCGAGCCAGAGAGGGGCCTCTCTGTGTCTGCGGTAAACCGGAAACCAACAAGCAACCTTTTCTTCCAAAGGAAGAGCAGAGTCAGCAGCATTGCCTGTGGGTGCGGCTGAAGGGTCGGGCTGTGCTCTCTGTGGAGCCACAGGGATCGGCCTCTCCTTTTCCAGGAGTGTTTGCTGCAGTTGAAATTTCTCCCAGTTTCATCTGAAATGATCTACGGCAGTTCTGGCTGCTCTTGGTGACAGGGACAGGCGTGTTCTGACAACAGAGGGGCCTTTGCACCCCGCACAGGCCCTGCGGACAGCTCTGCCGGGAACCCAGGCCTGGATTCCTCTTCTTTTCCTTTTCCTGTTGTTTCTGCCACAAGGAAGGTCTGCCCTGTGGAGCAGGCTGGGGCTGCTGCAGGTGTGGGAGAGCAGCGTTCCACACCCCAGAGCCTCCTCCTCACCACTCCAAGGGCAGCAACTGAACGGTGGCCCCCAAAATCTAGACCTGGCACAGTGGCTCACGCCTGCAAACCCAGCACCTTGGGAGGCCAAGGCAGGCGAATTGCTTGAAGCTGGGAATTTGGGGCAAGGTTCTTTGCAGATGTGATTAAGGATCTTGACATAAGAGCATGCTGCATTACACAGGTGGGCCCTAAATGGCATCACAGGCCGGGCGCGGTGGCTCAAGCCTGT